ATAATACATGGCAATATATGGCAATAATATATGGCAACAATACACGGCAACAATATACGGCAACAATATATGGCAACAATATATGGCAATAATATATGGCAATAATTCATGGAATATATTTTTCGTTCGACAAAAGTCAATGCAAATTTGCGGCATGCACAATGTAATTATAAAAGAGCTCTCTGCGAGCATTGAGTCAAACGCTCACCGATGATGATATTGATGATGTCCCGTTGCATCCAACCAGATCCACCAATGTCCGTCCATGTCCGCTGCCGCTCTCCATGTCGTGCAGCATCCATCTTGCAGCGCGTCCCACGTTGATTGCTACACTTTCGCGACGCGGTCGATACGCGGTATTAAAGCGGCGATATTTGCGTCAATTAACGAACGTTTTATGTCGACATCGGTGGAAACTTTTTACGCGCTGCAAAACATACTCTATAAACTCGATCGGCGAAGAGCAAGAACCGTGAAAATTTATCGACTCGTCCAACGGATTTGTACGGCGCTTTTCGCGATCGCGCCTGAAAAGTCGCGAAAATTCGGGAGTATCGATATCTAAGAGAATATTCGCGAATGCATGCGAGGAAAGATTAGACAATTAGAAACCGGTCACTCCGAGGGAGCACAAAGAGAGAGAGAGAGAGAGAGCGAGGCAAAGTTTTCACGCATGATAGTTTCGTTACGACGAAGCTTACGTTCGCGATACTTTAGCGAAATGAGAATTTAAGCTTTTTTTTGTTAGCAGCGCGGGTAAAAACGCGTATATTGATAACCGCGGTCGCGATATTCAAAGGCACGCGAGCGAGGATACCTCAAGCTCGGCGTGCGCTGGCGCAATTTTTGTGCGCATTATACGCTACTCGAGACAATAGGGATCGTAATGAATGCACAATATTGCCAAATAATTCCACAGCTTGTTTTGGAAATAAAAGAAAAGTAGCCAACGGTATCGGCATTTATGCGTATGAATATATTTTACATGGACAATTGAATATTGTCAGATAATTGTCGTTAAAAAATTCCGCGGCCCGTTTGAAAAATGAAAATAACGTTGCTAATGACCGTATCGCGTTTGTAAATATGAATATCTCTTATTCAGATGATCGAACATCAAAAGAGAATTATTCGGTATTTAAAATCTCGTATGTAATGCAGGCTATTGATTAAGTAATCCCCTGATTGTTTCGAGTAATGTATTTTATTCAACGTCACAAACACACACATGCAAGAATCTATTTGCAATTTGCATTGACTCGAACGACATTTTTAGTCCCACATCCGTCATGCAGAATATTGTTTCCCTTTTCATTTTGACTCACCGAAACGACTTGCAGTCAGAGCCGGCCATGTTCCGCTTCAACTCTGTAACAAAAAATTCACATTCGCTCATCAGATTTGTACCAACGAGTGCGGGCGAGTAAAAGAGTAGTTTACCCTCTGCGATCGTAATTCAAGTCGAGCCGGAAATTATGTCCCAGCTCTAGATCGCCAAGGGTCAAACAGAGGACAGAGAGATAGTAAACTTGTAAACTTACCTTCAAGCCGACTCTGCTTGGCCCGAACCGAATCCTTCGGTGCGGCATTCGCGTCCGCCAGAATGCTGTTGCTTTCTGCACCAACTAAAACAGAAAAATAATTTTCTCGGTTGATAACCTGCGGTAGAGAGAGAATATCTTTGATCGGGACGAATCGAAAATACGGAAATATTTTGATACGGAATTTTTATCTTTACATTTTTGTTCCAACATTGAAAATTTAAATGAGACTTGAAGCTTTCAAGAGAGCTGATGAGGAACAAGTTGCAAAGGCAAAGATCGTAAAGGTTGAACACAGATGTGTAGGAAACTTTTAAACTTACCTTCCGGTCGACTCTGCTTGGCCCGAACCGGATCCTCCGGTGCGGCATTCGCGTCCGCCAGAATGCTGTTGCTTTCCGCAACAACTGAAACAGAAAAGTAGTTTTTCCAGTTAATAATCTGCGGTAGAGAGAAAATATCTTTGATCGAGACAAATCGAAAATACGGAAATATTTTGATATGGGATTTTTATTTTTATATTTTTGTTCCAACATTGAAAATTTAAATGAGACATGAAGCTTTCAAGAGAGCTGATGAGGAACAAGTTGCAAAGGCAAAGATTGTAAAGGGTTGAACACAGATATGTAGGAAACTTGTAAAACTTTACCTTCCGGCCGATCCTGCTGTGCCCGAACCGGATCCTCCGGTGCGGCATCCGCGTCCGCTGGACTTGCTTCCCGCAACGTCTGGAACAAAAATTTAGCGTTCTTGGTTAGTAAGCTGCGCGGTAGAAAAAGAATGTTTTGGTCGGGATGAGTGGAGAATATTCACTACGGTTCTTTTTCTTTATTGACATTGAAAGATCTAGATAGGACTTGGAGCTCTTGAAGAAGAGCTGACGAAAAAAAATTCAACAACAAGAAGCGGAGACAACAGTTGTGTGCTCTCGAAAATACTCTTTTATGAATGGACATTTAAATTTAGATCCCGTAACGAGAATAAACAGACTTGAAAGAAGCGCTGACCGAAAACAAAAAAGGTCGCAGTCTAAGAAGCGATATGACGTTGAATATTCTACACAAGACCGGTATATTCATACAGTTCGGAATTATTCAGAATGTTTAATTGAGAACATAATGAATTAGAGATCCGCGTTCATGGACCGTTATCCGTCTCTCTGTCTGAATCAATGTATCTCTTGTATACAACAACACAATAAATAGATAGACAGACAGAGATTGACGAGAGATGAGAATTGCAGATTTATAAAGTCATGATTACTAGTCGGATAATGACGGATTGTGAATGCCGAGCGCGAAATTCCGACTTCTTATTCCCGGAAAATTCGTAAAACGTCCGCTCTCGTTATCGGAGACCTTTTACATAATAAATGATTCCACATACCTGGAAACGTGACGTGGCGTCCTGCTTCCCGGCTGCTGAAGTCCTCCGGATTTCACTCACTTACGCTTCTAATGCCGATACTCGCGATTCGACCGTGCGGTTAATCAACGCGACGCCGACGCGATGCCGATTGAATATCTCGAGAACCGACGAGATATATTTCTTTGAATTACACGAGATGGAAGTGACGAGCGCGTCGCGCACGGCTGCTGCTGATGGAATGACGTTGAGTACGCGAGGCGCGCGAGTATTAATACAAAGGGCAAAAAGTGTCGTCGCTCGCGAGCCGATCAACACAATCGGCGCGATGTAAACATGCGGGCTTCGGCGGCGGTTGAAGCGAGAGAGACTTGCCCTTGGATGTCTTTTCTTTTCTCGAAGGTTCCGGAACGACGAGGGGAATGCGAGGAGGCCTTTCAACTATACGCGACATTGATTTATTCTATTTATTAATTACTGAAAATGAAGAAAATTACTCTGTCGAAGCATCGGACATTTGTTAGCTTTATGTTAATTAAAGAGGAATGTGTACGATTAGAAAATGTGTTAGCAACAAATTGTACAGAGTGTCAAAGTTGTTGTGACGCCGTTTTTGGAGAATAATTAAAAGTCATGGTAGCGTTAAAGAGTGGAATTTCACCCCATGTGAATTTTGTCTCGTTCTTATTGAATGTTAGATTATCCGCTGCGGACAATAACTCTTCTACTTTTCATCTAATATTCAATGATGATAAATAACATTTAATTGCATTCGTTTGGCTTTTTTTATTTCGAAAATAAAAAAATATATACCAGGGTGAGATTTCACCCATGACAACATCAACGTAATTTTCTTTGATGCTTTTTTTAAAAGTTCAGATATTTCGTCGACTCGCGGGATATTTATAATCGGGGTCTCGTCGCGTTAATTAACACGTGCTCGAATGCTCACCAACGGCCACTGTCAGTGCCATGAATGAATGTCCGGAGTAGACGGGATGCTGAATTGAAAAGCAGGACAAAGGGAACGAGACACGGGCAACGATACATCATGCGTCTCCAGACATGTCAAATCGTTTATTATACAAGAGACTTTGATACGGCAACATGTATTCGAAGATTTAATATTTAATACGTAATTTTATTTTTCCTGCTCCTTCCCCTACCCTCCATTCTTTTTAGACCTCCGGGCATAGTCTGACATAGAGATGGCAACTGTGGTTACAGCACGGACATAAATCTCCTGAAAGGGGATGTAGCACGGACTTTCACCACATACAGATTTTACCACCAAGACCTGAAAGTGGATGTAGCATTGTAGTTTCTCTCTCAAGATGGATGCAGATGGCGTCCTTTCCCAATGCGGAAAGTCGGTGTCGCAGAAAATGCCGTGCTGGCCGCTCTCAGGTTTCTCTCTGCTAAATATGAAGCGACTGCGAACAGCGCCACAAGCAGGATGCTCGGGGAAGCTGAGTTGACCAATCATGGTGATTCATTTCTTTCCGTAGTGGAACCAGGAAGGGGATTCTAATACCTGTATTCATAGTCAGGCCTTATATTTGAGGCCTCCTTATATCCATCTTTAGATGCTGCATGGATTATTTTATTGGCTACAGACCATCTGAAGATAAGGAAGCCTTAAATACAAGGTCTGATTATGAATACGGGTGTTAAGCCAGCGGCACACGGTGCTTGTTTTCGTGGTGGATTGCTTGGTGGATGAAAATATTGCGTTGTGATTGGTACATTTCCGAAGATGGATGGAAATGCACCAATCAGAACGCAGTATTTTCATTCAGCAAGCAATCCAGCACGAAAACAAGCACCGTCTGCCGCTGGCTTTAGAGTGGCTAACATGAGGTTTGTTCGTTTTGTTTGCACTGCTGAACTGGTGCAACAAGTTGGAATGAGAAAATCTACGTTTGTCTCACTTTAACTTAATGCACCAGTTCAGCAGTGCAGACAAAACGAACAGGCCTATAGCGTTTTCGGCGACACCGATTTTCCGCACTGGGAAAGGGCGCCATCTATTTTGAGAGAGGGGAGGTACGATGCTACATTTTTAGCCACTTTTAGGTCTCGACAGTAAAACCTGCATGTGGTGGCAGTCTGTGTCAGGATTATTCTGTCAGTAACCAAACGGCCAATGTTTAGTAGTAGCGTCACACGAAACATAAAAAATGAAGATAACGGGGCATTCCAACAGCGTTTTACGTCTTAATATATATTTCTCCTTTTTAAGAGGATATTGAATTTATAACATTATTGTCACTTATTATTAAAATGTATTGTGTTAGTACAATGTTATTTTCAAAATATATCGTATTTACGGAAGTTGCACACGTGTACTGTTGTATTGAGTATTGTTGCACTTCGAATAAAAGAATATAACAATAGTTGTCATTTCTGAACATACTTTGTCATAAAAACATTTTATATATTTCTTAGTGCAGAAAGTTCACTTATATGGAGTAAATCTGATAGAGCTCGTGACAATCAGCCAAATCAGCTGTGGTCAGCAGAAAGTCGCACGGGACCATTGCTTCGATACTTTAATTCTTCGTTGATTTTCTTTCCTTGACAATATATCTTTTTTTTTTAATAATTTGTTAATGACAATCAGTACGATTTAAATTATATACAAAAGTGTGGTTATGGATTCTGCATTTTTCCAACACTAAAATCTATGGTTTATCATGTGGCCAACAAAATATATGGAATTAAAGGTAATAACACAATGATTAAATAACATGAATGACACGGTCTGTATAATCAATTGTATTTCTATATTATTTCAGAATATCGAAGAGTTATTAACATGTGGAATTTGTTATGAATACTTGGATACCAGTGTAGTGACTTTGTGCTCCCACAATTGTAAGTTTACAAAAACTTGTAAAAAATATGTGTGGTTTGTCATACATGTATTTTACATATTTTATGATTCTAGATTGTTCTTTTTGTATTAGAAAATATCTGCATTATAAGACACAATGCCCCACTTGTTCTGTGGAAACTTTTGAAAAGGATTTAAGAAAGAACAACATTTTGGATGAAATTATTGTCCAATATAAGAGTATGAAGGAAAAACTCAAAAAGGAATATCACAAAGAGATAGAAGCTGTGAAAGATGAAAACTCTGAAGATGCATGTTCAGTGAACGATTTTGAGTGCAAGAAGGAAATAGAATTTTCTGATGCAATTTCTAATGCAAGTGGAATATTAAGTAAACTTCCTGATAGTCCACTGCAATCCACAGCAATTATTTCTACACCTCATGCACAAAAGGTGCACAAAAGGCATCAGGATGTATCAAGTCCTAGCACTAGCTTATCATCTAAAATACCTTCAATGTTTACACCAAAGAGTAAGAAGAGTTTTCGAAATGAGAATTGTAAGGTAGTTGAGTGCCCAGTATGCAAAGTGGATGTGTCTGAAAATAATATAAATAAACATTTAGACGATTGTTTAAAAAGAGAGAGTACAAAGGATCAACCCAAAAAGTATGTTATATATTGCTTCTTATTGTTATTTCTTGGACTTTGTAGAAAAATCTAATATATTATATTTGATTAATGTTTACAAAATATTTGTTTATATACCTGCTTATGTTGCAGAGTTGAGTCAAAACGTAAACCATTGGCAAAATTAGTATTAAGTTTGATGAAAGATAGTGCAATGCGGAAAAAATTAAAAGAATTTGGGTTATCATCTCAAGGAGACAAAAAAATATTGAGGAACAGACTACAAAGATATATTGTCCTTTATAATGCAGAATGTGATAAAGTGCATCCAAGACCTGTGTCAGAGTTAATTAAACAGTGTGAAGAAGAAGAAAATTTGGAAAAGAATATTCAAAAACCATCAAATGTTAGTGATTTAATGGTAGTTCTTTTATATTTGCTTAGAATTTTCACATATACTAAAATATCTATTTTTACAGAGACTGAATGTTAATAGAAATATGGAACAAAATATTATAGAACAGCAAAGAGAAATATATTGTAAGTATCTTCAAGTCATTTGTATATACATGCATGTATGCATTTGTAACTTTTTCTTATTTTTAGTGAGAGAAAATAAGGGTAGCTTCGACCAGTTAATTTCAAAAATCAAAACTGCTGGTAATTCGCGAAAATTGCCCATTAAACGCAATATATTAAGTGCAGAGAATTTTGATAGTGAAGATTGTAGAGAAACCAATATTATGGTTAAAGATAGTGAGAAGAATGATTTAACGCTCATGAATTCGTACATTGATGATTCCGATTCAAATACATATTGTCCTCTGCAAACGTATTCCAGCGAGAATCCTGTGAACTTTCTGTCAGTTGAATTGTCTTCCTCGTCTGACGATAACAGCAATCGATATGTTCCTGCTTCTAAACAGAATACTTCAAACGTTTCTTGTAATATTAATTTATCTTCAGTTAGTTCCACTATGAAAACAGAAAATTTAAGGACTGAATTGTCTCTTGAAAAGACTTCGATATATAAAGAAATAGCTACTCATTTGCCTAACGATGCAACAAATGTTTTTCACACGGAAGAGCGTGACATTTTAGAGAATAGAGCGGACATTCATACCAAAGAATCACATCTTGAGCTCACTAAAATTGGATCAAAAGGTAGAAAAGAAGCTGAATTATTCACTGGAAGAAACAGGGATAGCGTAAGATATAATCAGAAGAAACATGACATACACTTAAACTCTGCAGATCAGTGGGAAGAAGAACTACGCCATGAAATTACGGATTCAATTGTAAGAGATATCAAACATGAAACAAAAGATATCGATGATGCTGTTGATCAACTCAATGGTACGTAATTTTTAAATTTAAGAATGTGAATTTATATAGTTATTACCATACAGAATATTAGATAAAACTTGTTAGATAAAACTCTCTTGCTTGTAACAAATTCGCTTGTGTTAAATTCTTTATTGGAATTTTTGTAGACATTTTCATGAGAGATCTGATTTCTCTTTTTTTTTCCAGAAGAATCAAAGCAACAATTAATACATAATGTAAGGGAGTATGTGCCCGATCGCAAGAAATTCGAGAAGGAAAATATGAAGACTGCGGATGAAAAAAATTTTGCATCCGTGCTGACTCGATCGCGTGACAATATAAATGTTCTTCGAAAACGGGAGCGAGATATGACACTCACATTAAGTGACGATGAGAGGATTGGAGATAGATCAATAAGTGTCAAAAAGTCAGCCAGATTTGGCCTTAGCGAAACAGTTGGATTCAATAATGGAAATTTTGGTGAGAATACATTGCAGGTTGAGGAGGAATCGCAGGAGAAAGTACAATCACGCGCGACTTGTGCAAAGAGTATAAATACGAGTTCTGTGAGTAGATCTACTAGATTAAGAAGCAAAATTAATAGCAATCGGAAGAAATAACTATGGTCAATTGTACTAAGAAGGCGAAATAACTGAATGTTGAAAAATAATTTTTACATATCTTGTTGAGTGCTATAGAATATAAGGTATAAGAATAAGGTATAAGAAAGACCGGACTTTCTTGTAACGATTAATTTAAAATAGAAATTTTGATATATTTGACTGTTGTTATATATAGAGATTCTTCCAATATGTGTTCTTTCAATACAATGTACCTTCGACACATGAAAATGCGAAAAAGAGTAAGTACTTTTATCTTTCTTGAGTAAAAATTCACAATAAAGATGTGTGTATTTATTATCATATATTTTTCCACTATCTTGTTTGTATCAAGCATATTTTGTAATTTTATACACACAGTAATATATACGACAATATATATTATTACTATTCTCTGTTGTAAATTTATTTCAATATTATCTTATATACTGATCATTATTAAAGTGCCGATATGTAATTTGCACAATATCGATTGTATCGAGTATTTATTTTCAGTGCAATTATGACAATGCGTACGATTAAAAGAGATGTGCCTGTAAAAGCGATAATGTATATGATAAAATTATTATTTTAAATATATCGTACTTTTTTCATTTGTATCAACATTCTATCGTGTCATTTCGATGCTCGGTAGGGAAGATATCTAAATCTTTATCAAAGACATTAAATTTTATTGAATATTGAATATATTATATATGTTCCAAACGGAAAAGAGACCAACAGTGATAGAGTGATATCGGTGCAAATCGCGATCACACGACTTACACGCATTTCAGATATATTCGTAGTTGCTAACAATAATTTAATAAGCTTAACATAATGTCAAAATATAGCTGCTCGTCTTTAACGGTCGCTTACACGTAAAATATCTGTCTTTGATATTACATAACTTTGATATTAATACACTTTGGTATCGATTTATACAATTATACAATTAACATTATATATACACACCGTGCAGTGTCGCGATTAACTTGGACACTATTCTAAATAATTTTCGTAGATTTACAGGCGCGCTAACGTTCTAACGGAACGACTATCATCACATTTATTATATTGTATCCTCCCTAATTTTTACTTAACATTATTGCACCGTTGTAGTCCGTTCAACTTTATACTGTATACGACATTGTTTATATTTTTCGCCTTGTCAACGTGTAAGGCGCGTCATTGCTGAAGAATAAGAATTTTTCTACAGCTTAAGAGGCATCGCTAATGATAGAAGTGTTAACGGATTTTCGCCTTTAATTTCCGCGTCTAATGCTTCATGGTATAACTTTCCGAGTTTCGATAGAATGGAACTGTTTTTTTCTGTAGTTTCTTATTATTTTTTTGGTTTTATCTTTTCTCGTTTAAAAAATACAATTTTTTGCGCGCAGGATATTTTTCCTAATATTTCTTTCCTACACAAATCCGCAAAGTTAACGAACTCTAGTCTCTGCCCCGGTGTGGTATGGCATCATGCGAGGTAGTTACTCAATCGCTGACACGATTGTATCATCTTGAGAGATGATACAAGCAACCCTAACTTCTATCCCATGTGGAAGGTGTTCGCAGACTTTTCTCGAAAATAGCAGGAAGATCAAAATATCTGATGCACTCGATACATTGTCTTACAAGTAGTAATCTATCACGGTACGTTAATTTACCGTCAAATTAGTCAAACAGATTCTTGGCGCTTACGGACAGATTGTCTTTTGATTCGCTAAGAGACCCGAGATAGCAGCTTTTCTTGAAAGAAGTGAAATGTTATCACGGCGAATATATGGATCGCCTTCGATGCGGAAAGTCCATCGTTTCTTATTTATCATTTAGTTAATCAAAGAGAACTTCCCAAAACTAGATTATATATCTCTTTTGTTTGTATTAGCGAGGAAATTCTAACGAGTTATTCTCTTAAATCGCACAAATGTTAAATACGAATGTCAACGATTGCGTATTCTCGCTTAATATCATCGAGGGATACGGCTAAAACGCCGAAATATCAATTAGCTGCCGGCACGACGATACCTAATTTTGTGTGAAATAGACTTCACACGTACATTTAATTAATTTATTATCTTGTTATATAAACTCGCGTAATAGACATTGACTCTCTCTCTCACTCTCTCTCTCTCTCTCTCTCTCTCTTCCCCTCTCCCCCTCTCTTTCCTTCTCTCTCTCTCTCTCTCTCTCTCTCTCTCTCTCTCTCTCTCTCTCTCTCTCTCTCTCTCTCCGTAAAAAGTTACATTCTGTGGAATAAAAATATAGTATCTACACAATAGCTATTCCAGTAACGCAATTCTATCTTCGAAGGAATCAGAAGAACCGTTGCGCACCTTCGGGGAAAATTTGAAATCTTATTTTAATATTAATCTTAAGTTAAACGATTTTCCATGTGTTGCATCGCGAGAAACTAAAATTACGTTATAAGCTCCGGATTCTCTTAACAGTAGTTTCGTTATTTAAACTCACCTGCGGTAGAACTATGTATTGGGTAATTATTAATAAGATAGGCGATTTACACAGGATATGTAGGATGTACTACTAGCTCTTAGATGAATTTTTCTTTTTTACACGCTCGCGAACACATTAAAAACTGCAATCTTTACATTTATACATACGTATGTATCGCAGTCTCATAACAAAAAGAAAAGCGAAATTGTTCATTCGATGAATAATCGATCGATTCGCATTGTACGAATTCTCACGTATCTCACTTTGCGTCGTTGCACGCCCACGATCGGGAGTTTTGATTGACCGTTTGATTACCGTATTCAACATCGGAAGAATACGCGCTAACAGTAGGAGGATATCGCTTTTCGCGAGATATTATTACATTTTCGGATATTATCGGACATTGTCAGGAAATATTATCAACAAGCGCCGGAAGTGAAAGTGCTCGGTCCGAGAAACCGAAGCATTTTGTATTATTCTATGCTTAACGCGCAATCTATCGCAGACGATATCGAGCGTCCTAGCATGACAGCCGATATGGAACGCGATAAAATATCGGTTTTATCGTAAATAACTGATTTATCGTAAATAATTGATTCGCGCGGAATTAGGACGCGACTGGAAACTCAGTAAGATGATTATCCGATGCCCTCCGAACTTGAAATCTTAGTCTTAGCCTCTCGCACACCAGAGAATTCTCGCAAGAATAAGCAGCTGGTCTTCGGACGACATTATCTGGATGACATCAGTGTAGTTTTGTCTCCCTATATTTTTTGACGGCAGTCTTTTTGTAATTGACCATCGCCTTCCGAATGCGACGAGATCATCCCGCTTCTTTACGGATAATCCGTGATCTTCTGACAGTGACGGATTTACTCTTCCTCTTGACATTGAAGATTCACCAATCGCTCACGCCTCTTATATCGTATTACAATCTTATCTTTTTACAATCTCTTTTATTCGCCTCTCAGTAATTATTTTTCTAGTTGCTTTTCACTCTTTTCGTTCTCTCTTCCCTTATTCGAATATTCAATGAAGATTTTATTGTAAGAAAAATCAGCCTCTTGTCTTGGCTTCTTCTGTCGACAAGGTTTTTCTTTGCGCGCTAGACTCATGCCTAGGTTTGAATTCGTTCATTGCCCGTTGACAAGGAATATATCGATCAGATCTTTTTGCTTCTTATGATTTCCCTATGAGATATTTCGATCACGAGTCGGACTAGCGTCACGTCACATTATCTCGTTTGGACTTCCTCATTACAGTGATGCCGATCGAACCACGTATCTTGCGTAACAAGTCAATTATATCGGCTGTCGACATGTGTTCCACGCTCTCCTCGTTAACCTGTTAAGAGAAGAAAACCACGAAATCGGATAGAGAGCACGTACAATGGTACAATGGTACGAATGTAATAAATTATAATTACAATGATTACATAATTGGAAGTAGCAGAAGCTTTCAACGATAAAGTCACTCATATGTGTTGAAATAGATAAATTCTTAGTACGACACAACGCAGCGAAATATTTCATGTGAGACAACGCTTCTCTCAAAGCGTGCTCTATGAAGGTAAAATTAACATTAAGATTGAAATGAAGATGAGCCTGGCTCAACAATACTGACCATCATCAATACGTCGCCCTGTTTGAGCCTGCCATCCTTGGCTGCGACGCTGTCAGGATGCACGACTGATATCACCGTACGATTCCCTTCCGGTTGCAGGCTGAAACCCAACCGACTATTCCACCCACGCGTTAGCTCCACCATGAACACCTGCAACAGCGGAGTGCGGATTGCGCAACATTGCGATGTCGGTGTTTGCGTTCGTGAGCATCGCGTGTGTCCTCGGATATTTCGATGATAAAATATCGGGCGAGAGCAAAAGTTTTTGACGGATTTCGTGATGGAAAAACGGATTAAGCATTTTCATGAAAAACAATCTATTCATTCTACCAAGTGATCATCATTGTTTTTTTTTATTATCTTTGTTATATTATATCTACTTGTATATTTGTAATTGCTGCCATAAAAGATCGACATCTTTGAGAATTCTATAAAAAAATTTTTGCACTCTCCCAGTATATATCATCGGAATAATAAAACACGTCCCCAGTGACAAGGAAATCGTCCACACATACGCATACATACACACTGGATGACTAATTGGATTTACAAAAGTTATCTATCGAAAGTTCCGTTAACGGGAACTCACCTCGCTGCCTTGTTCAAGGTCTTCGGCGGAAGTGACAGCATCCGTGACGTCTTTGTTGATTTCCTCCTCGCGCTCAGGCCGATCCGCCTCGTCGTCTGGAGCGAACATCACGCCCTTCCACTTTAGCAGACCCTTGCTACCGGCTGGGTCGTCCGTCCCCAGGACCTTCCCTGCGCGATGCGATCAACAGTCGAGATTACTGAATCGAAGGTAACGCAGATTGACGGCACAAATCGACTCTCGTCGCGATTTGACTGTTATCTTATCGCTCTTGCCCTCTCTCTACATCGACTCGCTCCCGATAACACGAGGTGGGTCGTGCATACATACACGCGGTCTGACACGCACCTGATCGAAGTTAATTTTTGGAGCGGTAACGATTAATCTCATCGTAAATTCGCCAGCCAAATTTGTCCAGATCAGTGATATCGCATGACTATTAAATTAGAGGTTGTTTGACATTGATTAACACCACGCGGTCAATATTAGATACTAGTAATATTCCATTAATATTATAACTTCCCGCCCGACCTATGTTCAACTTTGTTGCACGCAAAATGTGTGTGTTATATTTGTTTGTTTATTAAATTTATTTGTATTTACTTCATTCGCGCGACGCATTAGATAGATAATCGTATAACGATGTCCGACGTAATTATCTGCAAAGTTTGTGTAGCGACCAAAAAGCGAGCCGCCATGGTTCCATAGCTAGTACAATCTGCCTTGGTCCTCGTGATGCATATATTTCGTGATAACAATGTATGCTGTTTGAAAACATTTAAAAATATCTAGAGGAATAACGTTGATGCAACTTGCTGTTGCTTCGTGTTTACCCGGACCAAAGACAAGACAGTTAATCAAGCAACTTCAATTCAAGCACCGGGTGCCCGGGAAGAAATTTATGTTAATCGATCCGAGGAGAACCGACCTTGCTGACTCGATCATTTTCTCGAACGAACAAAAAAGTAAGTCAAGAAGAGAACGCTCCTGAATTACCTGGTATGTCCTGGTCGCTGGAATGCGTGACCTTGCTCTTGGTGCTGGACGGGTCGCTGCTAGTGCCGCAGGCCGGATTGGCGCTCTGGTAAGCAGGATTCTTGTAGCTGAAGGCGGCGGTGCTGGTGCTGCTGGTCGACGAGAGTACCGGCGGCATCGAGGCCGGCTCGGACGGCAGATCGTTGTCGTGCTCATCGCTCGACAATATCATCACGCTCCTGTCGTCGTCGTAGCTCGGCTCGGCCAGCCGGCCGTGCTCCGCCTCGGCGAGGATCACACCGTCCTCCGGATACTCGCCGTCCGAGTCGGCGCTGCAGAACTGGAAATGCGGCTTGCCCTGCGGCGCCGACAGGTCCAGGAAACTCGGCCTGGACGCGGTGCCGTTGCTGGCCCGTCTCGTCGGATCGCCGTCGGGCTCGTCGTAGACGTCGTACAGCGCCGGCGGATCGATTATGTCGGTCGCAGGTGTGTTCGCCTGGGAATTGGTGATTTGCGTCCGTATCGAGCATTGGTCCGAGTCCGACGTCTCCGCCTGGCTGGCCGTCGACACCGTTTGTACGGCTTCGTGCGACTTCTCGGGGCTTTCTGCGGAGCGGAGAGAGCTTGTCGTGAGAACTTGCTCGAGGAGTGACTCATCGCCCAGGGATCTACTTAATCCCTCGTGATCACTTCGAGAGACGACTTGTCGTTTGTTGCTTTAACGTTATCGGCGGGCCTTTGCAGGCTGACGCGACAGCCAATTTCCGCCAGTCCCCCACGATTTTCTCGGACTCAAGGGAGCCTGACTGAAGATTTGAGTGTCGCAGTCGCCCCCGAAGGCATCCCGAAGAATTTGCACGAAATTGTCAATTTCGCAGTACGACTTGTCGATATGATTACATTTGTTCCACGTCGTTTTATCGTGGAGGCTGTAATTCTTCCTTTCAGTTCATGATATTCTAAACACTCTCGGCTTCGTGGGTGAGAGGGGACCCAAATGTCTTCTTCAAGTCACCTAAGCATAAGTTAACGATAATTGATCACTTGATCGTACCTTGATCGGTTTCGGCAGTGGGAGTTCGCGTGGCCAATCGACGCAACCTTCGAGGGGAGTTGCAGGATGCACCGGGTGATTGTTGCTTGCAGCTGGAGCCGCTCGACGTGCCCGGCGACAGCCTTCGTACCGCTAAATCACACAGCATATCCACGGCTTCTTGCCTGTCGGGGAAGTATCGCGTAAGTAAAAGCCATAAGAAAGAGTTATCGCTCGGGAGCGATATCCTTGCCTCGGATACGACGATATTGGTAAGTAATTTCAAACGCAAAACGCGGACATCGGCGAAATCAGAGCCCGCGATCTTTTATCGGCGATATTTTCTCGTTAAGCTCGGACGGCACGAATAAATTGATTCCACGTGTATGTGCATATGTGTGTGTGCGTGCGCGATCGGTTGCACGTTGCCGAAGAAACCAATCGCGCGAGTTCTGCATACAGCATACAGGAATATCCGCGAGAGATAAAATCGAAAAATTACATTCGCCGGATATCAAATATCCGCTCACAAATCGACGGATAAAACGAAGCTCTTCCTAGATAGAACAGCAGCGACACAAAGCTAAGAATCTCCATAAAATTTTGTTAAATATTGATACGCCGCAAAATTACCGACGTTCCGCTCGTTTCCGCTCTGATCGATGATCGATTTCCTACTCTCTCCCTTTGCGGCCTTTATACTTTCGATATCGAGGTATCTCATTAATTAAATTGCAGATGGGGATCCTGGGAAATGCGTTTAATCGCACACTCTAGAAAGAATTGTATTGCGATAACGTTGTAAGTGGCTTTTTACCGTTCGAGAAACTTCGTGAACGTGTATTTCTGTATGCGAAATTGGTCCGATGTAACATGGCTTCCGACAAGATCGATTCGGTTGGTAAATACATGAATATCTACCGCTTTTTTGCGGCGAATTTTGAGGGTATTATAATCCTAAACCATTTGAAGTGCAAACGATTCGACAAGAAGGATGAACGGGTAAAAGCGACAATTTAATAATTGACAAATTTCAAACATCTCTCACTCTGTCGCTAATTATTTTTCATTCTTCCTTATCCTTTAACCTTTGACTGGATCATTTATTTTTACTAGATCGTCGCGCTCACCCGACCGAGCAAACTCTGCCTTGGCTGACCAGAATGAATAAGGAAGTTATTTTCTTCGATCAATGTCAGCTTTATTTTTTCACAGTTTTAATCCGAAGTCTAGCTGCAAAAAGATCTTACGTTCGTTGAAGTAAAATCGTCAAATATTTTCATGCGGACTAGCGCGCTGTGTAATCAATGGTCGCAAATTGCGGGATCCTGTATCGGGTCGGTCGAAACGCATGCCTTGACTTTTGAGATTTACCGAATTCAACGGCAATTTTGCCAATTGCTCATCAAGCAGTGAGCGATCGCCGTCGTTACGTCTGCGATTCTTCGCCGTAAAAGAGAGGACATTGCCGGAGAGGGGGAGGTAGAAAATCAAGGCGAACTTCTCAACGAGTCCACACGGTTGTGGAAGAATTTAACAACCGACTCAACGACGATATACCTCAGGCTCGTCCGCGGTGGACGGAGAGGGTGGTCGGGCTCGGTGGGCGACAGCGCTGAGACCGGAGTCTGCGCCAGGTCGCGGTACAGCCGCAGCTTCACTGTCGGCCCGCACTGCCGCAGCAGCTGGACCGCTTCTTCGTGGCTCATCGGCGACAATGGTGCGCCGTCCACGGCGACGATTTTGTCACCCGGCCGGATCCTGCCGTCGCTGAGCGCCGGCTCGCGCACCAGCGCTCGTACGTAGTGGCCCAAGGCGCTGCTGTCCGCCTTCCTCAGGGTGAAGCCGAGGCTGCCGCCGACCTTCGTCATCTCGATATCGAATTCCTGCGAACAGCGTAAACACGTTTATTTATCAACAACGAGAAATATTCATCGGGCATACACGCGCTATGCGTTCCGCGCGCGGATATGCTTGTTTTGCGCGCTTCACATATCTCTCTCTCTCTCTCTCTCTCTCTCTCTCTCTCTCTCTCTCTCTCTCTCTCTCTCTCTTTCTTTCTTTCGCGCCGGAGAGCCGCTGCGGCAGCGATTGGTCGTACGTATGCATCGCGACTATTGTTTATGAATATTACCCACCGCACGGATCGATATCAAAAGCTCCCGCGGGATACCGAAGTCACGGCGTGCGCGCGCGACATTCCGAGATACTTCATTTTGTCGCAGCTATTGTCCCGAAGGAAATTGTCCCCTCCCCCCTGGCCGTCCCCGTCGCTGAGTCTCGCGAGGTAACACTCCGTAAACGTAAACTCCGCGCTTTTTGTTAATCCGGCGGTTCGACTCGGTCGTTCGGCAGATAAGTTATGACATGTTTCGGTTCAGTTCATTCATTTGGTTGAGCGTATTGATCAAATCGCGACCGACCGATCTTGCTCTCGCTGATCATTTTGCGGAGAGCACACCGAGCGACAAGTCAAGTGAGTCTAGTGATGCCTGTGAATTATTGGCCCACGTCGCGGGTTGCGAGGAGGAGCTGAACGCATTCTATCGTTCCTGTCATCGGTGTATCGCTGACATTCTTGCACGATCAGCAATTTGTCCTTCTTCAAATCAACATCCGCATTGCCGCGTAGTCAACGAGCGAGTGACTTCGCCGCGAGCCGCGGTCTTTCGAATTATTAATTCGATAATCGCTTATTTATGTTATTCTATCCGTATCGTATCCTCTGAAAGAACGCGAAGTGATTGATAAATCTCGCAGTCATTTAATAAATCCCGTCGTCATTTGACTTCGAAAGTCACAGGAGTGCAGTTCGAAACTCCGCTTTCTGCGAAGTTAGCACGACGTTATAAAAATGATTAAAAGACAGTGTTAGTTCCAGTAGCATTTTCCATAGTTCTACAGTTCCTGATAAAAGTAAAAATGAGTTCCGTATTCTTAATACCAAAAAATCGAAATTGAAAAAATGTCGTGCTAACTTCACGTTCCAGCACGACACAGTCTCCTCTGAAGTACAAGAAGCCGGTGAATAATACGCTTTTTGACGAGAGTTCCCGTTAGTTCTAGGCTAGTTCTATAATTATGAAGCATTTCAAAACAAAATTCCAATAATTAACAATTCTGTATAATCCTAAACATTGGCCGCCAACACGACACTCGGTGAAAACATTCAACCATTTTCAGTCATTGTTCCGCCGTATAATTATTTTTAAATTAATTTTAACTTTTGACGCCAGCACAATATTAATTTAAAAAGTTATACGGCGGAATAATGACTGAAAATGGTTGAATTGTATGGAACTCGAATAAAACAAGCTAGTACCACCGCCAGAAGTGCAGTCGATGTAAGTCGATGGCACGACATGTTTTCACCGAGTGTCATGCTGGCGCTAAAAGTTAAAATTAATTTAAAAATAATTATGCGACAGAACAATGACTGAAAATAGTTGAATTGTATAAAATTCGAATAGAACAAGCTAGAACTACCGTCAGAAGTACAAGAAGTCGATGGCACAACATGTTTTCATCGAGTGTCGTGCTGGCGGCTAATATTTAAAATTGTACAGAATTGTTAATTGTTGGAATTTCGTTCTGAAATGCTTTATAATTATAGAATTAGCCTAGAACTAACGGGAACTCTCGTCAAAAAGCGTATTATTCACCGGCTTCTTGTATTTTAGAGGAGACTGTGTCGTGCTGGAACGTGAAGTTAGCACGACATTTTTTCAATTTCGATTTTTTGGTATGAATACGGATTTTTTTTTTATTTTTATCAGGAACTGTAGAACTATGAAAAATGTTACTAGTACTAACATTTAACAATTATTAATTTAATTTAATAATTATTAAAACATGGTGCGACACCCGCTTTCCTCGATATTGAGGAGTTTTTGCAACATCGTCTCTCAGATACGGTAAACGTTGATCGTGAACGTTATTCGCTCAGAAATAACGTCGCAATATATGCGACCAATAGCATTCGATTTACGTTTACCGTATCTGAGAGACGATACTGCAAAAACTCTCCATTTTCACATCTCATCGCGTAATTTCCTCTTCTTCTCCATCGCATGCCGTGAATTGCGTCTCACCGTGAACTACGATGAACTTTTCCTCGCTCGATCGGCAGATTATCGTGTCAGCAATTGTCCATTCATTCGTACGAGAGGTCATATATAACAAGCGAGTTCATTGGAGCTCTGTTTAGGTGCGCTACTTACACCACAGGGCTCGATCTGCAGAGGTGGCAGAGGGTTGAGTAAACGTAACGGCGGCGGCGGCTCACGTCTTGCTGGGGGTGGCGGTGGTGCGCCGGGTGGTGTGACATTACTATCTCCTGGAAGCCGGCACACCACCAACTCGACCGTACTGGGCGTCGTACGCAGAACTTCGAGAGCCTCCTGCAACAAGTAGCATCGAAATAAGATTATTGCGCCGCTCTCTCTCTCTCTCTCTCTCTCTCTCTCTCTCTCTCTCTCTCTCTCTCTCTCTCTCTCCTCTCTCGCTCGCCCGCTACCATGTATGTAAATAATGCGAGCAGCCGAAGTCACCGCCGCGTTATCCTCTTTAAAGAACATTATGGCTCTCCAAGACTTAAAAAGCCGCGGCAGCAGGCAGCTTCGGTCCCCGGTTGCGGCTTGCGACAGCCATGAAATTACATTGTAATGGGATTCCAGAGTGGAATCCGATAACGCGTAGAAAACGAGTAAGTAATGTTCGAGACCGACCCTGAGAGGAAAGCTTCGATTTAATATTTTTTCCCAAGTACACGGAAGTGACTCTTATCTTGATAATCGTCGATGCTAGTTGCCGTGGCGTTCTCAAGTAAATTTCTGCGAGCCCTCGGGAAATAATTTTCATACGTTCTGATTTGTCGTGATTATCTTCCGTTTGAACAGCGCACTTTAAAGAGAGGGAAAGAGAGAGAGAGAGAGAGAGAGAGATCGTATCAAGAGAAGTGTAAAGATTCTGTAACTTTTTCTGTGACATTTGGAAAGCGATCCCATATGCAGAGAAAAGTTCGATCGAATCAACGCGGCAATGAACGTGATAACCGCGCGTTTTGCTTGAAGCAAGAAACAGTATTTCCGTACATAGAATAATTCCGAACAATTTCTCATAGAACCGAATATGATCGGCAAGAGCCAGAGGCTTCGTTTCCTTCTACGAAAAAGCGCTTGGCTCGCTCGCTGTCGCGTTAATTCAACCAATCTTTTCTCTGCCCAAGTGCAAGTTTCCTACATATTTTTCATGATCATTCGAAAGCGCTTTCCCTTCTTTGCCGAAAGCATGTTTAACAAGTAAGCGACTTCGCGGCTGAGAACCGCGCGCGACTTCGTAGGTAACGCGGTTCCCGCGATAAAACTGCCATTTGCGGCCGATGTTTGCGCGGCAAAGCGGCGCAATTGTATTAAGACGGAGGCAACAGTTTCAGCGGCCTCGCCGCCGCCATCGAGTCGACGCGTTTTCGCGGGGAGTGTAAGAGCGGCGGGAGTACACGCGTTTGCGTACCGCCAGGCGGTATTGCTTTTGCCCTCGTGGGACAACCTGCCAAGTATACGCGAGATAATGTCTATCCTCGTCGAGGCCCGCGGGCTGTATTATGCTAATCCAATGCAAATCCTCGAGAGCCGCGAGAAGAGAGCAAGCCTGAGGCCGCCAGTCCAACGTAGCAGTCATTACTTGAGAGTAACTAATGTCGATAAAGTCTGTTCGGTGGAAATTCGCCGGTGCGTTGCCGTTCTCGTCGAAAGCAGACGTTTAACATCCGACATGTTGCCGAGACACACAGACACCACCGAGACACGCGGCCGTAAATTTGTCAATAAGGATTAAATCTAATTGGACTTGGATTTCTCGAGTCGGAGGAAGCTTCGATTGAGAGTCAACACAGGATGTATCGTAATACATGTATGATAAATATATAATGAATTTTAAATGTTGCTTGTATTTTTATATATTCCGCGAACGAACGTACACCTAATATTTTCTCCCGCTGCTGTTTAAATTCTCGAGCTGTAAATCTTCGCGTTCGTTGGCTTTGGTTTATCCCTAGTGAAACCGCTGTGATCTTTTGTCGATTTTTTTGTTGCACTTGGAACTGCAGTCAGATTGATTACTCACGTAATTGGTGAGGCCGGTGAGCGGGATCCCATTGGCTGCTAATAGTATGTCGCCAGATTGAAGTTTGTTGGACAGAGCGGCGGGTTGCTGCGGGAAGAGTCTCTTCACCCTGACCGGGCCCGCGGTGCCGCCGCCGGAGAGGCTCAGGCCGAGGCCGCGACTGCTCTTCTGCAGCGTCACGCGGAATGTGCTCTCTGAAAGTTCGAAACATTTTTCGTGTGTTTGCGAGACTATCTCGGACAGCGACACGTCCAGCCGAGAGAATGTCGCGCTTATCTGCTTCGCGTGCGTCGCCTCGCCGCGAGTCCTTCGCGCTCGTAGTTGTCGTCGCGACACGAAGTCGAGAGTTCAGAAGCTGGATGCGCAAATGGCAAATTAAACAGAATCCCCCGGAAGCTTCGAGTTTCCAATTTCACTTCCATTTATTACGAGCTACAACGTGTGTCTGTGAGGCAATCAAAAGTGCATCTACAAGAATAACGCAATTTCGTCCAAGTGCCGTACGACGTAGATATATATCGATGAGGGACTCGTGGCCGAGGAACAGGCTCCGTTCGCTCGAAATTGTGACTTCTTCGAGTAGCCTCTGGCGCGACAATTTATCGCTTCCGTTGGAGCGACGTATGGCCTAATATCCGGCAGCAAGCTACAATAGGAGCAATTACTTTCTGTCGCGATGCTCTACGCCACACCGCTGCGCTGCGTGCATATTTCAGCCGCCTGCAGCGGCTCCCGCGGAATGTATCCTGTCGGTCGTAATTTTCGCGGCACTCGCGCACGGAGAACGCGCTACCGAAATATGCGTAAACACACACACACACACACGAGCGCGCGTGTACGTCGCGTACGGTTCGCGAGCGGTTCTTGCGCAGCGCATCGGCGAAATTTGCCATCGTAGGAGCGTGCGATTGTTTAATTTCTGGACTTTGATCTTACATGTAAGTGTGTCGCGAGCCGTCGACATTTAAAGCCGAAGTGCTCGTCTCGTAAAACAGAACGCTGTGCTACTTAATTAATACCAATCACAGCGCGAATGACCACAAACCAAGTAATTCCGGTAGAACTCGATTCATGGAAAGCTCGCAGGTAAATCGCAGCGAAGCGGTAAATTCGCAAACAGGACTAGAGTTAACGATAAGTGTTTGCATATTATGAATCCTTACGACAAACCTGCACTCGTAACCTACCCTCTATCGCGCATATATGGTATACATAGCGATATTATTATTGCCGATTGAAATTTCGTAGCAAGAGAACAGCGTCGCTATGTATCCTTTCACAAAGTATCTACAAAATATTTACAAAATATTAGATTGATGCAAAAATAATTGCGGTTTTTACGTATCGAGTACAAAGACACACGTATCAGTTAAAAATGATATTTGTTAATCAAAATGAAGACCATTGGCCCGCACACATTTCAGCCAGCAGGAAACAAGTTTGTTTATTCCAATAAGACAGAATCCTGGAAAAGATAACGGTAACTAAAGAAATCGCCAAACTTAAAATGATAAAAATCGCAATTTTTTTGCATCAACTTACTATAAACACGCACATAATACAAGGAAGTTTTAAGTCATGTCACTTCACAATCGAAATCCATGTCGTTGATGTTAACCCCTTCCGTGGCACGGGACGCACCGGTGCGTCCAGCCAAAACCGTGCCGTAAGTGGCACGGTTAAAGATTTAGTGAATTTCTATATTTTGACCTCAAATTCGGCTTCAGCGACCAAAAGAACTGAAGTATACAAATTATTGAAAAAATCCGCCCCGTCATTTTTTTCGGGCGGTTTCAGTGCATTTTACTGAATCTTGCTCTGCCACGGAAGAGGTTAAACAATTGTATCAATCGCACTACGGTAAAGTCATCCGTTGCAATTTCAATGGAACGCACGATCCGCGATCGACCTCGCTCCGTAGGACCCTATAGGTCCACCGAGACTCGTTACCGTCGCGAATGCCGCGGAAATTTGAACTTTTTTTTTTTCTTTTTAAGTGGAAATCAATGTGAAACGAGCTCTGAGCTAGGTATGACCCACCTTCCACCGGATATTGACTCGATCCAGCCGACATATCGCGCGTATTGTTCACTTTGTTCACTTTGCGCGCTATTCAAATCGCAGCCAGGCCTTGCCGGTCGCCTTGCAAAGGGTAATTTACGTTTGCCGCGTTATTGTCTGGAGTCATACAGTGTCACTCTTCTCGTGAGGGGGCCCCGGCTATTGTCGGGATCGTTTCGGTATTGTCGGCCGGACCCACGTTCAATGGATCCCCCCCGGTCGCCCCGCCCGCTAAACGCCTCGTGAAATTGGACGACGGACTTCGCGAGAGTGAGGATTTTCCTGCGTCACGTTGTACATTACGCCGGCGCGTACACGGCCATTACAATTAAGATCGCCGCCGCTGACAAGGAGCCTGCACTTTGGGAAACGCTGACCGAAGAGCGACAATTTCTCCCGTGCTTCCTCACGCTCAAAGAGCGATTACAAATTACCGCGATAAGCTTCCTTAACGACCGCTCACTAAAGGCGGACATACTCGAAATTAACTGACTCGATATGAGAGAGAGAGAAAGAGAGAGAGAGAGAGAGAGAGAGAGCGACTGCGTGTCGCCTTCTTAATTATAATACGATTACCGTAAATTGGTTTGCCGCGATAAGAGATTTTCCGTTGGATCGGAAGAAGGAGAAAGACAGAGAGAGAGAGAGAGAGAGAGAGAGAAAGAGAGAGAGAGTGTAAGTGTTAACGACTTTATAACGAAGTCTCGCAACATTTAAATTATTAATTAAATTATTAATTAATTAAAAGAATATTAAGCGCTTTACCGGAACCATCCAATTAATCGTCGACGTTTGATTACCCTGGTATCAGGCAATGTTGGTTAATAATTAACGGATGATTACAGGGGTTTATATATCGTTTCCGTGTTTGCGCGGTAATTTTCTCAGATCCCGGGTGCGACTGCGGGCGGGCCATTAATTAATCGTGATTTAGAGTACTCTGTAGTGAAGCTGAAGCGGGCTGCTTCTGAAACTAATCCGTCGCGCCGCGGAATCATCGACACGACAGTCGGCGCTCCTCGGCGCGGCGCGGCGCGGCGCACGCAGGTACGCAGACGAGAGCGATACTTCACGTCACGCCAGGCGAACCTACATGCCGCGAACGCGCGCGCGCGAGTCTTCGTGCAGAGATTGCCCCGGGTCTTGCTTAGCTCCGGTCTGCTGAAATAAATGCGAGGGAGACGGTGATATCGCCTCGCGTGGATCAGACGTATCTCTCTCGGCCGCGGAGCTCGATCTCCAAGCTCGTGCATACTCGCCCGTTGTCGCGTCCCACATCCCGAGACGCTCGGGAAAAACGGGCCGATTAAGGATACGATCAATTAGCCGCGGGGCGGCCGTTTAATTAAGGCTACGCCTGCATTTAGGTTGGTCAGTGGATTGTAACGGGCGGGCTCGTAAAAGACCGACCGGCCGAGGGGATGCGCCCGGGTTTTACGTACGACACGGCTGGGCCGGCACAGCACGTGTGCAACGTCCGTTATGGAATCCATTACGAGATAGCAGGACGCCGTCCGGGCAATGAAGATACCGATATTTATGGGTCTAACAAGCTCGCTCAAAGTGTATATTCGCCGTTACATTTGCCGCGGGGATTATCAGCCGGCCGGAGTTGGAGGCCCCGCTCTTTGAAGCCTCAATCCCCGCGGTCCGAGCCTCGTCGTTTCTTCCAGCCGATAATGGAATCGCGCTTAATGCGCCCGGCCGATTCTCCAAATCGCGCAATGCTGAATTATTCTCGTTCGACGAGAGTGCCGGTAATTTGTCGTCTCCTCCCCCGTGATGGAGCGAGCCGCGGGAAGGACGAGGAGAAGCGAAACGATCGCGCTTCTCGCGGTTTCGATTTCTCGCGGGGCGCGCCCGCTTTTATCTCGCCGTCGTAAATAGCGGCTGGATGTATGAAACTTGTCATCGGCGTGTCGCGAGATGAAGATATTACATGCTGAATAGCTGAGACTTCGCAATGCTTATCTGGTGAAAAGTGCGCGGGACGTGCGCGCGAGCTCCCCCCTCCCGACCCTCTTTCTGCTTCTCACTTCGGAGCGCTCTTTCATTCGATAGCCGGAAGAGCCGACTAGCGATCTTTCAATATTTGTATCCGGGCTTTAATTAACATGGGAGGGAGTCGGCCAATGTCGACCATGAAAACGGGGCCTTTGAGGAGCGCGATGGAGCGTGCAAACGAGCGTGGAAGCGCGCAAAGAGAGCTTCTCCAGCGGTCGGGTATCGGTCTTTAATGCCGGCTTCGTTAGTCGCAGATTGCCGGTGACACATTTTTCCTTGTTCTCCCACCTCTCCGTCCTCTTTTCAACCATCCCTTTAGAGGCCCCCCCCCTAGCGCCCATTGCCACCACCCGCCCCGCCCGCGCGTTCTTCTTTTTTACGCCACCGCCCGACACACATTCTGGCCCGAGGTTGCAGCTTTTCATCGGCGAAAAATGCACTAATGGCGACCGCGTGCAAGAACGCGCTAATGTCGTTAGCGCGCTGAACAAATATGCACTTAACGAGCGACGCGCGCGACGATTTAAGCGGGCTCGTTACGTTAATTTTTACGCTCCGACGCGCGGAATTTGGAGGATTTGCGACCTCGCGAATTCCCGCGACGGGGGAGATTACGATCGACGGTCGGAAGACAACTTTTTGTTTTCCTCGCAGCGGACGAAACCCAGGCGGCCGCGCCGCGGAGGAATTTCGCGGCCGATTGACCCGGAGCAGTTGGAAAGTCTCGCGCAAGTTTCGATGATACCTCTCGATCGTTTCTCCGTCTCGTCGTGGAGCGCACGAGACGGAGGCGCTGGGATTTTTGTCCCGACGGAATATTTGCGAGCAATCAACTTGCGGAGATGTAGCGGAAGCTCAACGTTACAAAGATAAATTAAGTAATCCTGCGACGAACGGGGAGGATAGCCGGCACACAGGGAGAGAGAGTGGAATGCAATTTCAGTTCCAGAATTTCTGACAGGCCAATATTTCAACTATTTGGAAGGAGAGAGTACCTGAGCCATTACTTTTCCGCGACCGCACCACCGACTTTGACTGTGGCTGCTTTGCCGGCTAGAAATAGCCCCCGATAAAGACGAGACCATTATCTTGAGTTCCACATTCAATTTACCGCCGCAGCGCTTGCTGT